CAGGTATTTCACTTACTAGTGTCAGGAGACAAGCATGTATCACAGGTGCTGTGCTAGATCGTTAGGGGCACAAAGGTGGGAGTGGTTATTTCTATTTAGGTCAAATAAGGCTTTATAGGAGATGTCTTGCTTCTTGACATGAAATAAGTCCAGAAAGATGTGAAAATATTTCACAGGCAGATATGGATGGGACTGAAGGGATATTCTAGACAGGAGGACCACACAAGGGGATCAAAGGCATGGAGACTTGAAATTGCACGGCACATTGAGGCATTCCAAGTATCTCTGTGTGTTAGTTTCGTGGTGTACAAGGAGAGATTTGGTGAAAGATAAGACTAGAAAGACGAAGGATGCCAGATCTCAGAGGTCCTCATAGCCTGTAAAAAAACAGCTTTCATCTGAGCAGCTCTCTAGGCATACAGGAATCTTGCCTAAAGTTCTCAGGTGTAATCCATTCTGCCTGATGGCAAATTCTAATAGGACCTAGAGGAGAAGTTTAATTTTGGGCTTTATGAAAACAACAGAAAATAATTATGAGGAATGATTCAATAAGAATTATATACACTTTATTATAGAGTTAAATTTTTTCATTACTGCATGTTTATTGGCACAGAAACTGCTAAGGAATGAGCATATATTAGAACTACATTCTACTGAGAAATTTAAACATTAAAGAACTCAAGCTTTTAATACTAATTATTTTAAATAATTTTTTTTAAAAATATAAATGTTATACAGTGGAAAAGGGGAGTTAATGTGAGGTATTCCTTCACTGGAATTAGCCAAATAAAAACAAAAAGTCTCAGCCAAGTGTGGCTAAAAAGTATCTGATTTAGCTACCTTAAAAAAAAAAAAAATTATGAGTTTATTTGAGCCAAATTGATGACATATACTGGGGAGCCAAATCTGAAATGTTCCTAGCTGCTTCTTTTGTTGTCTAGTTTTTGTCTTCTTTCTTCTGTTCTGTACTGAAATGGTCACTTTTTCATATTAACCTTATAATGGGTTCTCTGCTAAAAATTACTCAAGCATCAGATTTTAAATAAGAATTCTCATAAACCAATTCCAAAGAATGCTTTTCTCTGCTCAAATACTTTCTGCAAAATGCCTGTCATTTTGTGCTGCAAATGTGTCTTCTGTACTAACAAGGGCCTGCAGCTGCCTGACCTTCGATTTGTATGTCTCTGCAGCTTTCCATCTTTCCCTCTTTGGATCTTCTCCGATTTCACGCTCCTGGATTGTTCCCCGTGTTGCTGCAGGTAGAGTTCTACACTACTGTGATTGATTTTGGCTGGAAAGAGAGACTTCCTGTGTGAGCCCAATCCAAAAATACTCATCCCTTCAACTCCAGTGTAGACAAAGGGTCTCCGCATTATGCCTTCTCTGATATACCCCTTACTCTCATTGGCCATACGAGTTTCAAATTTCTTAGTTGATTTTCATGAGTTAATAGGCTCCATGAGGGTAAAAATGGTGTTATTTTAAGAAAAAAATTAATAATTCAAGTCCACTTTAAAGAATCTATCATTTAAAAAGTGCTAGACTGTCCTCAGAGTTACTAAAAATGCTTTAATAAGGAAATACAGCTAGATTCTTGAGTACTGACAAATATTAGCTAAGAAAATGTGATACATGTATTGAAGCATAGTGGCTATAAATTGTATTGATAAGCAAGAACTACGTGCTCAGAATTCATTGTTATAGAGTTGAGTGGTTAATCATTAACAATTTATTGAATACTTATTTATAACAATGTTGTGAACCTAAAATGAAACTTTTTTTGTTTTAAGTAAAACTAATGTTTATTGATAGTAAAACCACTTTTTTCAGGAGCTGAATTTTGTTGACTAAGTTAGTGAGCAATGGAGATAAAAAGTTTTGTGGTTTTCTTTTTTATTTCTGAAATGTTTTAATTTCATGTCTGAACTGAAAAATAGCACCCTTTTATGTTCACCCTTGTTTTCTTCCCTCTAATAAATATTTCCCTTTTCCCTATACTACAAATGATGGATACTTTGGTAAGCTTATAATTAGCTATACTTCCCAACTTGTCTATGATAGCTTGGTGATGGTATCAAAATATCAGATTTTTCTCTTGACTCAGGGGAAAAGTAATTATTTACTGAACTGAAATAGTTTAAATAGTTGATTGTACTTTACTAAGTAGATTATAATTGGAAATATCCAAATAAACTAAAAGTCAAGAATAAAGTCCACCAAAACGGTGACATCTGGATTCTTTAATTTGTCTATTATACGGAATTTTCATGTAATTCAAGAAAAAAAAAATAATGTTCTTTATATGTTTCTGTATATTCTCTTATAGTGTCTATATTTTATGATGACAAGCCACTCTTCATTCCAGTTTAACAACTAAATTTTTTCCTTTCAACATACAGGATTTACAAGGAATTTGGTCATTTCGACCTTTTGATTCTAACAACGAAGCATTAGTCTAATCAAGAAGAAAAACTGCGGAAATGTTACAGATCAAGTTTCTCTGGTTTAAATCATTTAAAATGTTAATTTTGACAGTTGGAAAATCTTACTCAGAAAAAAATCAGTGTCAGCAACATGTTTGATTACAAAAAGTAAGAAGCATGAGCCTCTTCAAACTCAGAATGACACACTATTCATTTCATACTTTATAGAACGCCTCCATTGTAATTCACTTTATCTTCTCATCTCTAAAGCATCCCAGACACATTCTTTAACCATGAATTCATAAGCCTTTCCTCTGAGTGAGATCTCAGGATCAGTAAGCTTTTGAATGAGTGTGAGAAGTGGGGAAGGAGACAATAGTGTCTACCTGGGATTGCTGAAGGCAACCACTGAGCAAAACAAGAATGTTTTTGTTCTCTTGGCCTCTGTGTTCCCTGTTATTGTGTAGTGGGTCATTGATGGGAAACATTCACTCACCCGGCATTCCAAGAAATGGAGGGCTCTCCGGCTGTTTTAGAGTTCTGTCATTAAATACATGAATGTTATATCCTGTCTGAGTGAGAAAACTGACAGAACCAGATTGTGGTCAGAAATCCTTTTCAGAAACACTGCCATCGTGTGGCACTTTGGAGCCATGACCGGAAGAGCCCTGGGGTGAGTCTCATGGTTCATCGCAGGATGGCTGGGCTCCAGCGAAATCTATTCCTATAACTCTCTAAGTTCATATTAAATCATTTCCGTGGGCACAGAGTAAACCATAGTGAATCCTGTGGAAATCTTGTTGTTTTTAGAATTTGTGGCTTCCCCCCGCCCCACTAAATTGACAATATGACAAATTTATGTGGGTAATGTGTTTAAAGAAATAAAAACAGTTTTTAAAAGCAGGAATAAGAATTCTGTTTTGCAACTTTATAAGTTGAGTGTCTTATATTTTAAAGAGATAGCTGCCATCTCAATTATTAAAATGCGTGCTGGGAGCCCACAAATCAATAATATCCAATTTATTTGGATATTATTCCAAAATTCCAATTTATCTGGAATGCGACCAATTTAAAAGATGTCCTAAAATGTGTGAGTTAGTTATTCTACTAACAAGAAATTATTTAATCAATATTTATATTAAAAGCAATATTGGTAAATAGAAGACGATGCCTTAGATAGAGTTAATAACAATGGAGCCATTTATCTTTAATTTCACTTCATGCACTAATCTTACAATGGCAAGGTATTTGAATAGTGAAATCTCCATTCCACAAGTGACAAAGGTAGATGAAGAAGTTAAGTAAAGAATCTCAAAACAATATTAATATTTAAAATAGACTCAGAGCTCTGCTACTCCTAATTTCTGTTCCAGTATTCAAACTTCATCCGTAATTTTCCTTTATTCAAACACTTTTGAAACACCCAGCAAAGTTTTATATATATATTTTATACCATTTCTTGTTAAGTAATCAACTTCATATATCCTAGGAGAAAAACTAGAAAAAAGTGATTCAGAATCTAATCCATTCTTTCAGAGGTGTATAAATTACACTATTGATGTACATAGTTTAAAGGTCTTATGTTAGTCTCATTTCAATAAGCTGTTCCATTTAAATACAAATCATGAGGACCTGCTCCTCCTAAATTTTAGTAAGAGTTAACACATACACGGTGCTTAAAATATGCATATAATATGTGCCAAACATTTTCCACATACAAATCTGTTTAAACCTCTTAAACACTCCATGAGCCAGGTAACAGTATTTGCACATGATAGATAAGGAAACAGGTACAGGTAGGCTAAATGATTTGCCCAAGGTCACACAGTTATTTAGTGGCAGAGAGAGATTCAAGCCACTCTCTGGCTCCCAAAGCAGCACTCTCAAGCAGTCACCACTTTACTGCTGTAGCATCTAAAGTAAATTACCATTCTTCTATTTTATATAGCAAGTTATCAGATCAATCACCTCCAAACAATTCTAACAATGACAAAAATCCGTGTCCTTGAAAGGTCATTGTAAGTCCAACTTAACGGGCATGAACGTGGATCTTAATGTTGCTAATGCCATTTGTCTAAATGAAATCACAAAACTGAGCTTGAGTAATAAAGGATGAAGAGAAAGTCTCTGAACTCTTTGTACACTTGAACAAATAGCTTTGTAGCTCTTACATAAGTATAATTGTAAGGCATATTAAGTTGCACTTATCATCTTAATCTATTATTTAAAATGAAAGGAACAAAAAATCTATTTAATTTTATTTAGGACTGATTTTATTAATATTTTTTCTTCCGATTCAAAAGTAATAGTCTTTGTAAGAACTAGTCATTCCCCCTCCCTTTTTAATGAGACTTGTAGGTGCCTTTTCGTGATGCTGAATGCCATTCCCGTAAATGAAAAAGCTAGTTAATGATATTGTAGATAAGTAATGTTTTAACTCTAGAAGGGTGTGTGTGTGTGTGTGTGTGTGTGTGTGTGTGTGGGTGTGTGTGTGTTTTAACCACAAAACCAGAGGGGGAAGTGTGGGAGCAAGTGGGTTGGGCAGTGGCAAAAAAACCTCATGACACATCTCTCCTCCTCCCCGTGTTGGTTGGGAATATCTGGAGCAGCATTTAAATTCTGGCAGGTCCTGGTTGTCAGCAGCAAGAGGAGGAGGCGAGGAGTGCAGCAGCATCTGGGACTGGACTCTCCACGGGCGAGTGGCAGCCTTCTCAGCCGGCCGCAGACCCAGGTAAACCTGCAGTTTGCTATTTTGCTGCTGTCCTATGCATTCAGTTTCAGTTCAGGGGAAGGTCAAGTTGTAAGGAAGAGTTTAACTGTAATGCTATCATTCAGATTTAAATTGTTCTAGTCTTTTGAATAAGAATGCAAGATACATTGCAGATCTCCCAGAGGAAAGGTGACCAGCTATTTTGAAAGCCAGTAAAATATAAAACTTAAAAGTCCTTCCACTGAGTCCTCAAAAGAACTGAAACTACTTCTCCCAATCAGAAAAAAAGAAGGAAAAAAAAGTAAAATTCTATGCCCCTTTGGAATGATTATACTCATACCATTTGAAATAGATAGATGATTGTGGAGGCATTTAAAAGGAAAATGATCTTTAGTGCTAATGTAAGTCAATGATAATGCTATTTATTTGATTTATTCAAGGGGGAAAAAAAGCCCTTTCTGAATATTTTACTTCTGTATTTAACTGTAATAATTTTCACCAAAATACCTGTGTGGAGACTCATTATCACAAATAGAAAAGCTGTTGACTGTTTTCAATGTTTCCTTTTTCGTTTCAAATTTCGAGAATAACTTATTTAAATAGCTAACTTTAGAGAAAGCTTCATTTCACCCAAGTAACACCTTTTTAACAATTTAAGTTAAAAACAATGTTTGAAAGGCATGCTGAAAACATGAAGGAAGCAAATTTCTTTCTTAGTTTTATTTTCTTTCTCTTTGTGTTTTTCTTTGAAAAGTAAATATTTCCACACTAGCTAATTATTTTAATTAATTACTGTTGTAGTGTGTTTAGGTTTAGATAGCTGGTGATAGGTAATAATGGTGTAATCTCTGGAACTCTGAATTTAAAAGTTGAATAAATATAGGCTTGTAAAATTCCTCTCTCCCTTGTCTAATGGTGAAAGATGGAGAGAGAATACAGGTGGCATTACAGATATTAACTCAAAAACTGCATAATGTAAAAAAGAAAGTTGTCTCTAGGAGGTAGAAAATATATTTTATTTGTAATTATTTTATAACGTGGTAGCATAAAAGGTATCACTGTTTTAACCTCTGAAGAGATCAAGTATTCATTACAAAATGTTTTGCAGGAAAAATTGCTACCATGAGAATCGCAGTGATTTGCTTCTGCCTTGTAGGCATGGCATACGCCCTTCCAGTGAGTACAGCTGAATCTTAAAGAAAATTCTTCAAAGTAAATAAATTGTATGCTCCCATGTGCTGGGAACACGTTCACATTGTATTCTTTCTTCATCTTTTTTGTTTCAAAGGTTAAACACGCTGATTCTGGCAGCTCTGAGGAAAGGCAGGTAAGCATCTTGTCGGTTTATCATATAGTTAAATTATTTATCCAGCTGCTTCAAGAAGTACTACAAACATATTTATTGCAATTTTACTTATTTTCATAGTCAAGCCCAACAATTTATAAGTATTTATTGACCGCCTGCTTTCGATCTAGGCCAGTACCAAGCACAGTATATTTTTTAATTAGATATATGTTTCAAACACCAAACTAGATTTTTTAATATAATAAAATAATGCTCTAGGCCATCATTACTTGTATAAAATGAGTTCTATATGTGAATTTTTCTTTCCATGAGTCAACAAACTGTTCTAGAAGTATAAAATTCTATCCTTTGGTTTACTTAGTGGAAGGCTGTTTAAAATTCACCTCACATATTAGACAATGTGCATGACTGTTATATTCACAACATCTCCAAAGATTTTTGCTAAGTCCATTATAAAAGTCTATTTATGCTGTTTGCATCTATTGTGCTTGTCAGCTGACCTTAGATCACATTTTCCTAACCAAACATAAGACCAAATCAAACTCTTTACTATAATTATTTGACCAGCTCTGCAGATGTACCTGCCTCTCCACAATAGGTGAAACTGTGCCAACCAAACAACAAACGCGCATTGTCCCCAGGAGCCTGGACCAAAAGGCACAGAGTTCAGTTCAGATGAACAGAATAAAGGCCAAAATAGAGTTGCCTGGAATCACTGTAATTAGATTGCTTAATAAAGACACTAAGAGAAGAATCACTGTGTGTGGTTGGGTATGCAAGTGGGTGTGGGTAGGTGTGTCTGTTTTCCAATTGATTTAAGAATACCAATATTGAATTACAACAATAAGCTAGAAAAATTAACATTTTCAGAGAAGATAGAGGACACACTATTTGAAGGAAGAATTAGTGTTTTTTTAATAGAAAAAAAATAGGGCACATGAAGCCCTATGTCAGTATAAGTTGTTAAACGATATTTAGGAGATAAATGAAGAGCTCAACCTTCTAGAATCCTATAAATTTCGAGCTGGTAGGAAATAAGGTACGTCCATAAGGAGATGCCTCTGAAGATGAACACTGGTTATTTATGAGTGTTATGATTAATGGGTGGGTTTTAGTCTGTTTATTTTGCTTAGCTTTATTTTCTTTATATTACATTTTTAAATGATAAATTTACCCTATAAATGCATTCACCCTGAGCCTGTATCGATCATCAGAAAATATGTATAATATAAACGTAAATTATAACACATTTCTATGTAATATTTATATAAATATATTTTTCAAAGAAAAAAAAAGAGAGGAACTTTGAACTCATCTAGACCATTAGCTTTTTGTACTTTCTTTTAGCAAAAACTTTCAGAGAGGCCCAATCTGAAACTGCTTTGGTTACAGATAGTCACGATGACTGGTTTCCTCCCTATTCTTGTCTCTGCGCCCTCAAGTTCTCAACAATCTTGATGGCTGTGGAATGAACTCTATGGAACCCTCAGGGTTTTCATTCTCGATGACAGGGATGTGAAGTGATTGGTCATGGGTGATACGGCCCATCAAATGACAAACAATTAGAGCAATTTCCACTCGTCTGTACTAGCATATTATAATCATTTTCCAAATAAATAACTTGGCTAAAGGAAAGGCCATTCCATTCATGTCTTTGGAGCCTTAGAACAATAGAACTTTTGTGCAATGATTTAGTTAATATTATATTTCTGCAACAGCCACTAAGATAACCATCGGACCCATGGGGCTATTAAAAATTCAAAATGTATCTAGTACAAATGTAAACGTTCAAAATATAGCTAGGAACTGAATTTTTTACTTAATTTAATTTTAATTAACAAATTAATTTTAATTAAGTTTAAATATCCACATGTTATGTGGCTAGTAGATACCACATTGGGCAGCGCAGCTGTCCCTGTTCCTGTTTCTCCCTGTTCCATAGGGAGAGGAAATGATGAAGACCAACACTAATTAAGGGCAACTCTGCTTAGATGTACTTTAGCTGAGAGGAAATTTCCCCTAGCAAACATAGAACAGCAAAGCACAGTGTTAAGACGAGCGCGAAGAGCCTATTTGTCTGGATTGAACCCTAGCTCTTAACTTCACTGTGGTTGAGTTTCTCCTGATCTGTAAAATGGAAACAATAATGATGTCTGTCTCATAGCAGGTTGAGAGGATTCTATGAGTGAATGTATGTAAATCCCTTTGAAAGGGTGCCTGTTCTACAGTAAGTGCTCTGTAAGAGTTTAAATGAATCTGCAAGAAAAAAATAGGTTAGAAAAGGGGTATCTAAGGCTCTGGTTGACTACATACATACATATTATGCTTAACCATCAGTATTGGGGAAATATAGTTATTTTTTCAGCTTATCACTTAGAGATCTCTATGTTTCTTTTTAAAATAATGACAAATATGCAACTTTTTTGTAGCTTTTCAACAAATACCCAGATGCTGTAGCCACTTGGCTAAAGCCTGACCCATCTCAGAAGCAGAATCTCCTAGCACCACAGGTATTTTTAATTTTAATTAATTTTAAAAATTAAATTTCTTGCAATTAAAGAACAATAACAACAAAAACAAAAAGCCATTTGACCTGGTTAAGTAGATCCTTCCTATGTGTTGGTAAATGTGAGCTTAGGACATCAATTGATCTGCCATGTTGACTTCTTCCCCTTTACGTCATTCAGCAATGAGGCTGCAAAATAAGACCTGCTTTGGATGGAAAAGGCTAACTTTCGAATAAAAAAGTTAAACATGTATGATACACACTGATCTGTGCCTTTCCTTTTTCAGAATACTGTGTCCTCTGAAGAAACTGACAACTTCAAACAAGAGGTGAGATCTCACTTAGGTTCAGAGGCCCGCCACGCCTTGGAGAGACAAAAGAAGCCACTCTTTGTCCTAATGACATTGCCTGGGTTCAATTCTGACAACATTCTACCAGCAAATTTTCCAGTAAAGTTCCAGTCTAGAACTTGCTCAGAAAGAAAACATGTATTACTAAATGTCAGAAATACCAGATTCCTTTACATAAATTTAGTGTGGCAGGAAATGTTTACTAAGTTTTGTTATTTGAAATACTAAGCTTCTTGCAATTGATTTAAGGTATTTTATAGATGTCTTATTTAATATCTGAAAATCTAACTAACACCTATCAAAACCAACAGTTTGCCTCTAGGAACGTTTCTGTTACTACCATATGGTTTATTTGATAACTATTATTAGTGTTCTTAATTAGGACTTTTTATTAGGACTATTTATTAGGACCGTTTTATTAGGATGATTAATATATTTGCTAAGTGAAGAGATAAGTTAAATTTGCTTTCCTTAAGATTCTGTTTGACTATGCTTAGAATCCCTAATAAGGCAAGTATATTTGCTAATTAGAAGTTTAATAGACAATTACTGCACTTTATACATGTGTAAGAGTCACCTTTTGATTATCCATGCTTATAGGGAGGTAGTTTTAGGTTTGAGTACATGCATTAATATACAGATGCTCTCATCTAAGAATTCTCATTTGAAATAGAAGAAGTAATCTCACAGTTATGTATATATATTTATTGCATCATTGAATTTGGCATATTAAATAATGTCTGATGTGAAGGAGGAAAAACTGTTATTGATATAAATATTATACACATATTTGACTTAAAAATATTTAGGAAAGTAATTTTTTATGGGAAAACAGAAATAATATCTCAGATTATAATTCCATTTATCCTTAAAAGAAAAATTGGAAGATGCTCACTTTAGCTCCTAAAAGCCATTGGACGCAAAGGTCCTGAAATGAAATAAAAGTAAGCTAGAAAAAGACTAAAGCACCATAAAGGATAAGGGAAAATAAAAACTCTTACACTAATTTTTCTGGCCATTTTGATTTTTAGACTCTCCCAAGTCAGTCCAATGAGAGCCATGACCACACAGATGATGTGGATGATGAAGACGATGAAGACCATGTGGATAGCCAGGACCACATTGACTCAGATGACTCAGATGATGCTGATCATACTGATGACTCTGATAACTCTGATGAGTCCCACCACTCTGATGAGTCTGATGAACTGGTCACTGATTTTCCCACTGACTTTCCAGGAACCCCAGTTGTCACTCCAGCTGTCCCCACAGGAGACACAAATGATGGCCGAGGTGATAGTGTGGCTTATAGGCTGAAGTCAAAATCTAAGAAGTTCCACAGATCTGTAGTCAAGGTAAATCCTTTAACAGATGTATCAGATGGTTACAATTAGGGCTCAATTCTAGAAATCAGAGTCTGCATATTCGCTTATTTATTCATTCATTCATTCATTCAGTCAGTCAGTCAGTCAGTCAGTCAGTCAGTCAATCCACAAGCATCGTTATTACTTTATTATCATTAAATACAAAACTTTTTTCCATTTGGTAGTTTTTTTATGTTTAAGTCTACGTAATTTCTGTGATTGTCTCTCAGTCACAGTGCTATTTTTCAAAATCCTGGTTATAAAGCACTTTTTTTAATTAGAAAGAGACTTTGGAAAACAGCAATTATTTGCACAATACAGTGGTTACATTTTGAAGTTAAATACCTAAGAAGAATGATGGAGTTTCAAATTACAGTGAATCTATTGTCAAAGGATCTGGATTTGATACATAGCCTGGACATTTACTATTTACTTTACTTTTTAACTTTTAATTCACTATTCTTTTATGTAAAACAGAGATAAGAGACCTAACTCATAAGTTTCATCACATATATAATTGATGTACCTCTTACACTAAAGGAGATGACATATGAAAGGGCTTGATGAAATACAAAGTAACATGCTAACATTATTTTTTACTTCAGTCAAATTTAGACAGTTTTCAGTATAAATTGGCCTAAAAGTTCAAGAGCAGAAAAGAATTACAATATTCCCATCTCTGGCTGTCACTTAATTCTTTTTCCATTTGTGCTGTGATTCAGTATCCTGATGCTACAGAGGAGGACCTCACATCACATGTGGAAAGCAAGGAGGTGGACGATGCACGCAAGGCCGTCAAGGCTGTCTTCGTTGCGCAGGGCCTGCACGTGGCTTCTGACTGGGACAGCCCTAGGAAGGACAGTCAGGAAACAAGTCAGCTGGATGACCACAGCACGGAAACACACAGTCTTGAACATTCCGAAGAATATAAGCTGAAGGCAAATGATGAGAGCAATGGGCATGCTGATGTGATTGATAGTCAGGAAAATTCCAAAGTCAGCCACGAATTCCATAGCCAAGAATTTGATAGCCGTGAAGACAAGCTCGCCCTAGACCCTAAGAGTGAGGACCAAGACAAACACCTGAAATTTCGCATTTCTCATGAATTAGAAAGTGCATCATCTGAGGTCAATTAAAAAAATGAAAAATACAATTCCTTGTTTTTAATTAAAAGAAAAAATACATTATAGCGGGGTGAGAGAGGATATGAAATGCTTATTTCTCAGCTTAGTTGGTGAATGTATATGTATGTGGATGGGAAATAGATAATGTTTTTGATCAGTAGTTTAGTGTGTGGCTTCACGGTAACACCCCTGTAAACTGAAAACTTCAGGATTTAGTCTACGTTCTTTCCATATAAGAAATGCAAACTATCACTGCATTTTAATGTTTGTCATTCTTTTATGAGTAGAAATTCTTATAGAAGCAAACAAAATGCTTTTATACATTCATAAGAGAGAAGATAAAATTTTATGTCACTGTAATCTTTTGTTTTTCAAATTAGTGTACGTTTTGTTGTGATTATTTTTGTGTGAATAAATCTCATATCTGGAATGTAATGAGAGTTTGGTGGTGTCAATTGCTTTTCTTAGTCAGTTCCCTACAGTTGCCCAACAATTAACAGATATAATCATCTTAATGAATGTGCTGGACTTAGTAAAGAGCAATCTAGGAACTGCTGGATCAACTGTATAGCTTCTGGCGGAGCTAAAGTTCCTAGCCAAGGACACAGGAGTCCAGTGGGGGTGATATGCAACCAGAAATGACCCAATCATGCAGGACTCTGTAGGCTGCTTCCACCCAGTAAGAACACTTTTTTCTAATTTTCATAAAACTGACATAAAAGCTAATGAAAGCCAAGATGTAATCACAAATCAATTTTACTGTTTCTTATTAATTTGTTCAGTAAATTTATCGCTTTCCTGTCCTTGGACGAAAGCTTGGGTAGGTCCCATAGTTTTTCTGATTACTTATAGAAAATAAACAAATGGTCCTTTATATTGGGAAACATTTTAATGCAATTTCAGGTATAATTAAAATTTTTAATTTCATTCAAAACTAAAAGTTCTGGAAACCTAGAGTGGGACGAGTGTTTTTATCTCCTTGTCTTGCTCCTCTGCTTTTTCTAAAACTAGAAATTCCACTTGGAATTTTTAGAAATTTCTATTAAACAACTTTTGGGACAAAAGAGAAAAAATTTAAACTGCAGAATTTCTTTAAAAAGAATCATAATGAAAACACAAATTCTAGAGAATATAGTTAAACCAGTGATTACAGAAAATCCATAGCCTTAATTCTTGCAGCAACAAAAAATAAAAGAATGAAAATAGGTAAATTGAACTCCTATCATAAAAATTAGAAAAGAGCAGGGAAGTAAAGCAAAAGAAAGTATAAGAAAGGAAATAATAAAGTTAAAAGAAAAAAGAATGAGGTAAAGAACAGAAAAATAGTAGAAATGCATAAATCAAAATGCTGATTCTTTGTTAAAAAAAAATCAACAAAATAGATAAACTGCTAGCTAACCCAATAAAGGAAGAAAGGTAGAAAATACAAATAAGAAATAAAAACAAAAAGATAACCCATGAAACAGGAAATTTTAAAAATTGAGAGAGACAACTTTGCACAATTCAATATAAAATTAATAGAAAACCTAGCTGAATTAGGTTATTTTCTAGAAAAATGCAATTTACCAAAAGTGACTTCACTATACATGGAAAACATAAAAAGACAAATTTCTATAGAGGCAAGAGAAAATATTATCAAAGAACTATCTATAAAAACTAGACCCAAATGATTTTACAGGGGAATTCTATCAATCCTTCAAAGTCCAGATAATCCCCACACTATATAAATTATAGCAAAGAAGGAAAACTCACAGATGATCTTTATGAAACAAGAAAACTTTAACACTCAAACCTGGTAAAGATTACACACGCACGCACGCACGCACGCACACATGCACAGACTATAAACCATTCTCACACATGACTAGCAATGGAAAAATCCTGAATAAAATGCCAGCAAACAGAATCTAAAATCAAGTTCAAAGAATGCATCATAATCAAGGTGGAGGAGATTCTTGGACAATGATTCTTTAATACTAGTAAATTTATTTCCTGTAATTCACCGTATAGTTAGATCAAAAGAGAAAGATGTCCTATAATTACATCTACAGACTGTGTATTAGTCAGCTATTACTGTGAAAATAATGAGCAAAAAACACTCCTGATATCTCAGTGGCTTACAACCTCAAATACTTTTTTTTCTCACTCGCCTGTCTATGGGTTGGCAGGGGTGGCTGTGCTTCAGGCTGCAGGATGTATTCAGGTCTGCTCCATTTGTCTCTCTGTCTGGGATCAGCAACAACTCAGGCCCATCCTTCTGGTGGTAGAGGCAGAAATACAAGAGGAGTTAGAAATATGAAGCTTTGGGCTCAGAACTGACCTACTGCCACTTTTGATCAAATTCCATTATTAAAAGTAAGTCTCAAGTCAAATTCCATATCAATGTGCAGGTGAAATATACTCCTCCTACAGTGAATCATGATAGAGGAAGGAAAAAAGAAAGATTTGTGAAGAAATAATAAAATGTAGCGCCACCTTTGACAAATTTCAACAGTCATTCTTAAAGTTTATAAAAATAAAATGAAAATTAAGAGATACTTCCTTAATGTGATGAAATATTTTATGCATCAGCTAGAAAACCAGCATCATACTTAATGAAGAAATATTAAAAGCATTCTCACTATGATCAAGGACAAAGCAAATATATCCTTCATCTCCACTACTATATAACATAGTAGTGGAGATATAAGTTAATAATCATAACTGTTTAGATGCATAAGAATTGAGAAAGAAATTATATCTTTATGTAGATTATATAATACTACACCTAGAAAACAGAGAAGCAGTACTAAAAATAACAACTAACAAGTTCTGTAAGGTAGCATGATGTAAAAGTTACCTAAAAACATATATACAAAAAATATAAATAGTAACTGTTTAATAAATATAATGTCATTTAATATAGAAACAAAGAAAGATAAAATACTTAACAGAAAATGTGCCAAAACTACATTAGAAACTCTATTAAACACTCCAATGTTTTTCTCCTATGTTCTTCAACACCATAAAGATGCCAATTCTCTCAAGTACCGTAAAAATGTAATGTGATTCAAATTCGAATAAAAGTAAACTTTTTTTCTAGAGTGCTGCAAGCTACTTTTAAAGTTCACATGAAAAAAATAAACATACGATAATATGAAAGAAAATTCTGAAAAATATAAGCAATAAAGGAGGATTAGTCCTAACAAATATTATAGAGCATCTCAATAAAAATACTGTGGTGCCGGCAAATGAATAGAAAGAGTGGAAGAGAATAGTAAGTCCAGAAATAGACCCACGTGGATATGGCAATTGCTATATGACATCTGAGATCACTAGGGGAAAGATGGGCTTTTAAATAAATGATGCTGAGTGACTGGATATCTACTTGGAGAAAGATAAAATTGGATCCATATCTCACACCATACATCAAAATAATCTCCAAATTAACCAGATATGTAAATTTTTTATAAAATACTATAAAACTATCAGACGAATTCATGAAGGAGTTAATCTGGATGTGAGGAAAGCTTTTCTGTGAGAAGACTCAACCCCATGTCATCTACTGTAAACTAAATGTTTGTGTCCCCTCAAAATTCTTATGCTAAAACCTAATGCCCAATGTGAGGGTATTTGGAGATGGGGCATTTGGGAAGTGATTAGGTCATGAGGGAGGAGTCCTTGTGAATAGTGTCCTTATAAAAGAGATTCCTGGAGCTCCCTGGCTTCTTCCACCCTGGGAGGACACAGTAAGAAGATGGCCATCTATGAACAGAAAGCAGTCCCCTCATCAGACACCAAATCTACTGATGCCTTGATTTTGAACTTTCCAGCCTCCAGAACCATGAGAAGTAAATGTTTCTTGTTTATAAGGCACCAATCTTTTGGTTACTTGTGTTATAATAGCCCAAACTATAAGACTAGACACTACCAGCCTTGTATTATTAGTCAAGAGCAGCAGCCCCTTGGGCTCCCCATGTACTTGCTTCGGTTGGCACTTCATCACAACCAACTACAGGTAACAGCTTTAATTGTGTTGTCCCTGCATGCCAAAGAATACAAGTATCCGATTTCCCACTGGCAAGTGGCTCAACACTGTGCTCAAATCCAAGGACATAACCAAGTTGATCCAGAAATTGTATCTGTGAATGGTGATACCATTCAAAGACCCCTCCCTGCACTCTATCAATCAGGGTTCAGTTAGAAGACAGGAAACACACCAGTAATTTGAATAGGGAAAATTTAATATAAGAATTATTAACTAGAAACAGGAAGTTAATCAGAAATCATTGTACTGACAGGACACAATAAGAAACAATTTGGAAAGAAAGCTTCTCTTTCTAAAGCTAAGATTCACATTTCATCAGGGAGGGTGTGGCTGCAGCCCAGAGGAGGACAGAGAAGTTTGCTGTGTTATCCTGTGTAGAGCTGGTCTATAGCTCGTGGGCTGAAGTTGGCAAACAAGTCATTTCCCACAGGAGTGCCAGTAGACTGAGGCTAGTAAGCAGGAAATCGTGGGTCATGACTGCTGAGCAGGAAACTGCCTGCCAGGGTGCCAGCAGAACTAGCTGGACAGTGAGCACCACTGAGTGTTCTGCATGTACATCACTGGCAGGTGCTCCACAGGAGGAGCAAGAAAAGAGGACACACACCGGCACGCAAAGCCTTTTTTTTTGCAGTATCCCTTCAGTGCCCTCTGCTGACAAAGTTTGCTGTGTGCCACCTAGTTTGGGAAGCATGTTTACAGGGTCCAACTTCAATATCACAAAGCAGGGCAGATGGCAATGGAATTTGAGCAGAACAGCAGTAAAGTGATATCCCTCACAGGCTCTGGGAAAAAGTCTGCTTCCTGTTGTTGGACAAAATGGGTAAAAAATGAGCCTGGGAAATCTCTTTAATGATAGAATTCAAAGAAACACTCAGAAACAAAATAGGGTCATAATCAAGAGAACTAATAGCAAACTGAAGGTTACTTCTACTGGCCAAAATTGAATTTAAGAATAAAAAGAATAATAACAATAATGGAGTATAACAAATTGAATTTTTTTAATTTAATTAGTATTCAGTGATACTCTGAGAGCATAAAAGAAAGATCTTTATAGAGAAATGCTAGTTAATAATAAATGTAGAAGGAATGATAAAATTAGAAAGTCATTTTGCAACCCACAGTAATATTGATTCAGGAAATGATCACTAAGGAATGTTAAAATCATTGCACAAAAGGTTATTGAGAATAGAATATTCATCTGGTCTCAGAATACCATCCACAAATTACTAATTCTGAAGGAAGAAGATACCTGTAACTAGAGAGGTTTGGTAATCACCGTCTTCACCCAGTAATCAAACTTAGCTTCACTAATGGGAGTACTAGATATGTGCCTCCTAATGTGATGCAATAAGAAGAATGTAACATTGCTTATTAAATGATTTTGTAAAAAATGTTTAACGGAATCAAA